AAGTCTCGCAAGGCTATATAGGCCCATACAAATGCGTGCGATTGCCCGCTTTGTACTTACGAGTAAAATATTCAATCTACTTACTGCGAAAAGTGTGAAGCAGAGATTTCTTTGCTGAATAAAAACAAGCAGTTTACATCTATGGTCAAATTACATACAGACCTACAAATATTGTTATGCATGATATTTCAATACTTGAAACATGCATTTGTGTTCTAAGTATCCGTATAACACAGGAATGATAAATCACAAACGTGTACTTATGTCAATTAGGCAGCAGCCTGATAGAGGTATAGAAACCTACGGACATAGAGATGCATTATGCAGATAGGTCAGTACGTCAGGTAATCGATGGTAACTTTTTAACAGAAAGCAGCTACGGAGTATGGTAAGTACACGAATATAAGGTATTTACTAGTAACAAATTATTACTTGGTCATATCGACTGCACGGTTGGCGCGGTGGCTGGGCAACTGGCTGCCGCGCAACGTGTCGCGGGTTCGATTCCCGCACGGAACAACTCTTTATGTGATCCACAGATTGTTGTTCCGGGTCTGGGTGTCATGTGTATGTGATATTGTATGTTTGTAAACGCACCCACGACACAGGAGAAAATCCTAGTGTGGGGCAACGTTTTTAAAAAAAAAGAAAACAAAAGGAAAAAGAAAAGAAGAATATACTACACTTTTTGTTTAATGGAACTGCAAGGCTTACTAAAGGTCTAAGTAAAAATAAGATTTAGCCCAAATCGCCTAGTTATGTATGTTCAATGTTCATAGCTAGAGAACGACTGTACCAATTTAGATATTGTGTGTTCGATATTATTTTTGTGAAATCATTGATTCACTTCTTATCTTATCACAGTAAAACAGTAATGGAAAAGTTACTGGAAAACGGGAGCAGGTCATCAGGTATAAAAATATATAAATTAATTCATATATACAAATAATTCATTGCCTTAAACGTTAATTGCCTTCATGCCCGCTTTATAATATCAATAGATATTGAATTAAGTGTTACAAAATGTATATTTTCCAATACTGGGTACGATTATATTGTTTGTTAATAGATATTCCACAAGTTGATCATCTTTCGTGTTGTTGTTTTATTTTATTTTATAGTTGTGAAGCCATTGTAATGTGCAACCTTAATTCGAACAGAGAATGTTTAACTGCCATTTTGCATGGAACGAAAATGATAATTTTACCACAACCTTCATTAACGATTTATTTAATTTCTTTATAATCTAAGTTTTAATTGTTGTTCTTTTAAAGTGCTATTATATTTTGATACTCAATTAGAGATAACATTTTTATGAAATAATAGTTGCTGAAGAATGATATCTATCTCACTATTTTAGGAAAATTTTCTTTACCTGATAATAAATTGACATTATGTACCTACGCAGATGTATCATACATTTTCCAATACCTATTTACAAATTGACGGCCGTCGATTAAATATATTTACTTTGGCCTTTAACGGCGGAAGAGGCATCGGAAACTTTAATATGAGGCGAATGTGAAGGACCACAGTTTAAAACGCAACCCGAGTAGATGTTAGCCAAACTGATGGACTGATTATAGTTTCATTGCCATCGTGGAAAGTACTATTAGCTTTATGACGGCCATCTTAACTGCGTGAGAGAAACACCTACTTTGATATATAACACAAAACAGCAAAATAGTATGGCTGGGGTTCTTAAAGACAATAATTGCATGTCATTACACCGTGTCACGTCCGGTACAATGTTTTACGATCACATGACGACTGAAAAAGTCGACTGATGCAAATTTCAACTATAAATACATTTCATAATAGCACCAGCAAAATTGCTACGTCATAACCAAAGTTTGTTGAATGGTAAACGATTCGTTTGACTGCACTATTTACACGATATAAACACATTTTGGCCAATCACAACATTTGAATCGGTTCAATAATGTAATTTGGTGTAGAATTATGTATTGCCTCGTGTATACAGGTTGATTATGTTGCAGTATGAGCTGTACGAGGCGTACAGAGTCGGCTGCTCGAACAGACGCAATGCTAGTCGATGCAAAGAGGTATTCAGAGCAAGGGTTTATTTTTGTTGTCACAGTTACCGCAACCGAGCACTTGGGTTATATTTGGGTTATTAGTGACGCAAATAGCTGTGATAAACGGGTTTAATTTTGGCTCGCCACTCTCTAAAGCTATTGTTGTCAATAGGTCATTAGTGCCTTCTTCGACAAGGTTGCTATCTGGATTACATTTGATATACGCGATGCTGTTCGGTTCACGTCATTTCTTTGGACACTAACAAATCTTGACTGCGTCCAAGATAGATTTATGTTCCTACTTTGCATTTAACATCCATAACTTTGTTTCTTGTTAGGACGACGGACACGTTCTAGATTTTCGTCCAACCGTAACTACGATCTTCAGACATGATGACATAGATCGACCAATGAGAGAAACTAGTGGTGATGGATCGCTCGGTAAGTAGTAAGTATGAACGATGTAAATCAATGTAGAAGTTTGGATTAAAGCGTTCCAGAAGTTAGTTCATTCTAACTATCAGAGCTGGGTAGATAGAGAGACGTCAGTAAACTTCTAACGAAGGTCTAAAATTCGTTTAAAAATTGTTAACATCAGTAAGAATTAGTGAATTTTAATTATAATAGCTGGCATATTTCTCAGTTTAGAGGTGTAAAACTCGTAAAACAATACATAATGTTTTTACACGCGTCTGTTATTGTTTTATATATTCAGATTATCTTACAGTTGACGGATGGAGGTGCGAGTGAAATTATTTTTGGCACGTTCACAGTTTTTAACAATTAGTGAATTAGATTTTATGACTGGCATGACCCTCAGAATTTTGATTTTGTTAATTTTGAAAGTTCAGTGTTCTGGATACATTGTTTTTGTACGTTAGGTTTTAACTATGAAGGTGCTGGGTATCTTAGTAAACATATTAGTTATTAATAGCCTAGAAATGTTTACTAATACAACAACGTCTGTGATTATTTAGTGCACTAAACTTTTCCCTTCACACGCAACGGTTCATGGTCTTTGAAGAAACACTATGGATGTATCGTTGCTAGCAGGTGTAATAGCTGTAAGCGTGAATGCTAAGTTTGAGATCCAATCTTTCGAATGGGGTATGATCTGATTTCAGTTCCTTTTCGAAGTAAAATATGGATTTCTTTTAAAATAGAGTGAGGTATAAAAAAGTTACCTGAATAATATAAAAATCTTTGAGTTATTGTTGTCTTTTCAGAAGTTTCATGTAGTGTAGGTAATAGGGACCAACTGTATGTTCAGAAAGCATCACATATTTTGCAACAACGAAGTTTTAATAGTCTACTTTTTTTCGAGTGAATAACGTGTAATTTTTATGGTTAACAAAATGATAGCAAGAAGGTGCATTTTGTAAGCCAGGAAATGGAATGCCCATGTTGATGCTTGCTCTAGATATTGGACGATAGTTTCCGTCTTATCGAGGTTTCTAGGCGTCTCAGGAAAGGCGTCAATATTTGAAATGGAAAATAGACTGCGATATTCAGCGATATTTTGCATATTTTTTACACTACTCTCTCATTTGTTTTACGGTTGGCTTTTTACAATGGATTTTATGCTTAGAACTATGTAAATTAAATCTTTTAAGTAAAACTAGCTTTCCCAGCACGTGTTACAATTACACAAATAAAATAATATAACTCAGGAGTCATATTATCTATTGGTGAAAATCGTACAATAATCGGTGTAGTGGTTTCTGAGTTAATCGCGTTCGTACAGATAGACGCGAAAGGTAATTTGTTTTTATTATTTAACGTTCACGTCACATCTTTGGTTATTGTGATTAATTATATATGTATATATAAGCTACACTTTGATTGAAAGTTAGTTCTAGAATATCAATAAATGAAGATAGCAGACTGCCTCGTTGGCCGAGTGGTCGTAGGTGCGACTGCCGGGCAAGGGGATTCGGGTTAAGTATTACTGGGTTTTAAAAAAATTCTCAGTAGTAGCACGGAGTCTGGAAATGTGCCCGATATATGGCAAAAGACTCACCCCCTATTACATGGGACTTATAATGAAAAAGTTCATATAGATAAATACACGTGATAGAGCCATGCTTAAGTTACAGTGTTGCCGTATGTATATTAGGTTAATTACATCTAAAATAACACTTGTCTCTTAAGGATGTGAAGTGCAACGAAGATGGAATTGTTAACCTAAGGCTCTCTAATTGTTTTGGTTGTTTGATAAATCCTAATCATCATCGGTATTGACAGATAATGGTCTGTTTAGGCGGGAATCAGAGCTTCCACCTGTGTGTGGTGTGTAATGTGTTAGTGTTTACCTAGTGGCCAGCTAGCCTTGCCAAACGACGCGGCCGTGGCGGTGACACCGGCGCGCGCGCAACCGTCTAGCGTCTCGTGCGCTTGCCAGATTTATACCAACATACACAAGTGTACATACGCGATATTTATATTTATATGGGAACGCTGAGTCTTGGTTTATCTAAAGGTCCGGCAGAGGCTGCTGGGAGATTAGAGACGTTGCTCATATTGTCTTAACTTAAGCACATTAACTTAAATTAACACCATTTTCTTGGGTATTTATTTACAAAAGTTCACCATATAATAACACTGTTACTTTGTTTCAGGGATCCCTCTTCAGTTTCGACTGTACGAATGTGTACTTATTAGGTATTTCATATTAGAAACAAAAAATACACTGAAGAATTTTTCAAATCACCCACATAATTAAATTACATATTCCTGAATTAATTACAACGTTTCACAAATAGTTACGTAGCTGTACGAGGTAACAATGGGCAGGCCGTGTCATAATATATTGCGTGCCCATTAAAATTATTTCGGTAGCTCATTTCTAGGTCCCAGCAGAAATTTGCGATTGACGATAACATTTTCCGTGGGTACTCGTTTATATGGGAATGTTTATCGTGGAATGATCAGAGTGTTTGTTAGCATTGTTCAGTAACGAACCTCGCACACTCAAGTAAGTCCCTGTCGGGAGTGAAGGCAGCCCCTGAGGCGAGCGCCACCACCGCCAGCAGCGGCAGCAGCAGTGTCCACATGTCGGGCTACGGTCGCGTCGGCCGGGGCCTGGCGTCACCTCGCGCGCATACTCTCACTTCACTCACTCGCCGCCCACACATCATCGGCGGCATGGACGCGGACACATCACTACACAGGGTCCTCGTGCTCCAGGCTGCGAGCGGGCTCCGCGCGGGGGTCGAGCTCCGAGGATCAGCGAGCGCGGCGCGATACTGCGCGACTGCGGCGGGTGGCCGTTATCGGCGGCGGCGGGCGGGCGCGGTCACGGGCGCAACCTTCGCTTCCGCGCGATCTCACCCTGTGACGCGACTGACGCGCGACGCGAGAAAAACTATCGCTACGCAACCGACTACGAGACGAGCGGTCGGCGTCTGCGACGATATCAGCGATCATTAACTGTTTAATTCATATTTGAGTGCTGGGGGAGCACGTCGGCTGTGACGTGCCTGGCCCACGTGCTACACTTGTGACAACTAGTCCCGCCCATCTAAGTTAGGTACACGAGTAATTGCAACAAAGTACTAATGTTGATGAAACCGATGCTCGGTGCTGTATGCGGCGTGCGGCGTGTCGAGCTCGCGTGACAGAGCCTGCCGTGCCCAATCGTTAGACAACATTTGACTTTCGCAAATCTACTCTGAGTGACTGTAACAAAAGCGAATAAACTGCTAACAAGATATTAATTTTCAAGGGCACATAACCGCAAGTAACGCCATGGCCCTAATTTTCATTGTGTAATTTTTTCCTATCCGGTTATTGTTTAAATCAAAATAGATTTACCTACTACAATTAATCAATATCTACACAAACAGATACACATAATTACAAACAAAGATTACACTAAATAAAAATTAACATTGTTTGTCCTCGTTTTAGTACTGTTGTGATGATATTTTGATGAGAGCATTCACATAAGTACCAAGTGCTGGAGTACAAGCAGTAAATTAGGCAAGCTATCGACGGTGCTCATCAGGTCGTGGTTTGCGTGCAACATCGGGGATTTATTTAATTTGATCGTAACGTCAGTCGCGGTACACAAATAGAGTGAATCGTAAGGAGACGCCGCTGCGTACCGACGGTAAATTGATTCGAATGCCATTCAGAACGATCGGCCTTTATCGGGTTGTATGGGTTATACCAAGTTCGTACCCAATCCAAGAAACGCAATGTTGTTTGTTAGCGCACCTTTATTGACAAATGATTACAGATTTCATGATTTATTAATCACCCATCAGTCTTCATTGACCATTCAAATAAACCTTTGTCTGTTTTGAAACCTCAACCGTTTGGTACCTTGTCTTATAAATTCGATATATTTTTACGTAAACGTGAATAGATGAACATGGTACAAGTAGATAATCACGTAGAGCCCTTCCACTATCTGACATGCTTGGAACACATCCAACATGGGATGTGCACGATCCTATTCGGTATTATTTATTCGTGATAATCCCACTGTTTAATATAGAATTGCACTACATACAGTCCTAGTATTAGGTTTATTAATAAAACTGCAACTACTTATATTTACTGGACGTCAGGGAATGAAAATATTATGTAGTCGCAGACTTAAAGTTTAAAAAATGTCTGTTAGTAAGTATACCTACTAAAGAAATCAAGTTCTTGGCCGGTAGACTTTTTTAAATAATGTAAATAATCTATTTCTTTTATTTTTCGATATTCTATGATAGATTTTTCGATATCTAGACTCTACGACTAACGACTGCCTTGTTGGTCGAGTGGTCGCAAGTGCGATTGCCGAGCAAGGGGTCTCGGGTTCGATTCCCGGGTCGGGCAAAGTATTACTGGGTTTTTCAGTAGTAGCACGGAGTCCGGAATTGTGCTCGGTATATGGTAATAGGCAATTTACATGGGATTCATAATATAAATAGTGAAAAGTGGGTGTAACATTGTACAGTGGCATTAAGTGCCGTAATGTGCACCTCTGCCTACCCCTTCGGGGGTAAAAGGTGTGATGTTATGTTATATCGACTCTACTTTTTGACTATCATTATTAATCCCTTTGTAGGAATTGCAGGAATCAAAGTAAATACCAACTCGAAGGTCTAGATTAACTTTAAGCGTTCTATAACATTTTCCAACTCATTAAATAAATCCAATATTTCTCGGTAATGATAAAATTAAAACTATGTCACGGTAAAGAGTAAGAGGACATTACAAATGGAAAATTAAATTAAATATAGATTCTAAAAACATCCGGCATGCGGGCCTAGATAATAAGCACTTGTTTCATTCCTACATTCTGATGGTAGTACTTTCTTATAATTCTTAGTACTCGATTCAGTACTAGAATATAACACAAGATTTAAACAAGGACTTGTTATTGTTATTCAAAAAACATCTACGAGTTTTTTTTAGCATAAGCCGGTAAACGAGCAGACGCGTCACCTGATGGTAAGCAATCGGCGCCGCCCATGGACACTCGAAATACCAAGGCGTTACAAGTGCGTTACCGGCCTTTTAGGAATTGTGAATTTGAGGATCGTGGAGGATTCGAGGATTCGGGAGACGGGACTAGGGAAGGGGGTAATTGGGCCTCCTGTAACCTCACTCACACGACGAAACACAACGCAAGCGTTGTTTCACGTCGGTTTTCTGTGAGGCCAAGTGTTCTTAATCGCTAAATTCTCATAATATTTATAATCAATAAGTACGCCGAAGTTTAGCGCCAGGCCAGGTCCATATCGACTACCACTAAACTTTAACTAGCTTCTTTAAACCACTAGACCAAAAGGTCAAGTTTCGATCCGGTAGATTCAATCATTAGTTTTCTAAATAACATATCAAGTGAAAAGAAATTGAACATGATAATAGAAATGTAATTAAATGCATCGCTTTGAGGGAAATTAGAGTCAGGGAGCCATCTGGGCACAATATAGTTTATTTATCAGGTCATAGGCAAATAAGGTAGTGTTGCGAAACAACGTGCTGGTAGTCCAAGTGGCAGTGGAGCATGTCACGCCTCACGATGTAAACTTGCACTTGATTGGATTCCCTTCGTCCTAGCGGTTAGATAACCGCTCACTATTTTCCGGTGTGATCCACTTACTACATGTGTGTTTATGTTAGTTCGGAAGTTAATTATTTGCAGAATATACTTTTCCCAAACAGACGGGTAAAGGTATTGTTATATTCAAGTATTTATGTTAAGAAGACATTGTTTTCTAGCCCTTAGAATAGGGTAGTTTCCTAAATTTTATTTTAATGTCCGTCTGGTAGATTATTTTAAAACATTAGACACGTATTTTTTCTTTTCTTACAAAAGGCGTGACGCGTGACGTCACAGCGTGCTACAAAATGTACCACGTTATGATGTAAATGTAACTACCTCCCACTCCTAAACTTAACGCCATTTTATTTAAGTATTGTAACTTTATACGAGAAATTAAATAAAACACGTGTCTAATATTTTTTCATTATCTAAATGACGGACTAATTAGATTTTGAATTTTCTTACCCTGGAAACTACCCTATTCTTTCTTTTCAGCTTACAATCGTCACATCTGAATATATTTATAGATGGTCGTTTTATTCATTTAAGTTCTTTGAATGCAAAGTAAGTTACTAATAGGTGTTGAAGGAATAATGTAGGTTTTTACATATAGTCCTAAACTCTATATAGAGCTAGTAAAGTATTAGATTAGAAAGGGATCTTTCATTCAAAAACACGATACAATAAGTTAATCTCTACGGTATGAGTAAACTCGTCCTTGAATCGAAGCCGACATATTTGTAGGTGTTCCCTGACTTACGAATGTTTAATGTAATTAATGTTCATTTTGAGTTAATAAGGTATTACCAGCCAGGTATCTCATATTGTGAAATACGTGTGATTTGTGTATTAATATTATATTGATGTAGATTATACTAATTTGCTTCTCGGTTGGCTGATAAGCGGGTTATATAACATGCATTGTTAACAATAAATATATTTGCATGCCAAATGACGGCGCTCGTAAAGTTATGACTGGCCTGTTTACGGTTCGCGACGACGGAGACGCTTGTTTGTAGTACCTACCTACCTAGCTACCTAGGTACTGGTACATCATAGACATCCATTATTGTTGCAGAGTTCGTAGATAGCGATAAAGGATTCCAAAGAAGTAAAATTACGTGGCTATGCTATATCGATGACTCTGAAGCAACAAACAGTATCTTGTGCTATACAAAATATAGGCCTATTGACCGTTAAGAATGACTAAATCAAAATATTTGATTCAGACCAAGGATTCGAGCCTGAGACTTACTCAGCTTGCAGCTTTCACAAAACAGACCAGGACAGATGAAGACGATATTTCTAAAGCCGAATGTCGATCATTGAATAGCCATAATGAAAGCTATTAATCCCATGGTGACTATATAGATTTCGAAAGGAATTAACCAGGCTATGAATAGTTAGAAGTAGCATTTGATAAGAGAGAGCCAGTATGTGACAAGGTACTGATTACAAAGTATGGTTTTAGTTCCGACTAATGCATTTTTATGATAAACCCAGGGTTATATTTATATTTATTTTTATGGTGGTATAAAGCAGGTGGGTTAAGATGCGGGAGGAAAACTTTTCAAATACCTACCTACCTTATTAATGGGGACTTTTAGTGTTTTATTTTGAGATAGTGGTATAGTTCTTTTTTATGAATCTTACACAAAAATGCCCTAAAATTTAAATTTCTCTACTCATAGAACTTTTAATTGACTGCTTGACTTGTTACGTCTTTTTTCCAACAGGGAAAGGCAGGGAACAGCTAAGGGGACAATGTTAATAGTTAGATTCAAAAACTGAACGATGTTTACTTGTGATTTGGTTTATGTACTCATGTTGTGACAGTTGAAGTTCATTGTGCAATTGGGAAGTAGTCCGTACGAAAACAAATTATCGTTCAAAACTTTACAGTAGGTATGAACCGTTATTCACACAATACATATAACGAGGTTTGTATTTCAGACATTTACAACCGTAACCTCAAAGAAGATTCCATTTCAAAACGCCATTAAGTGT